AGGGTGGCATGGAAGCTCCCTCTGAATGGCCATGAAGGTCACCTGCAGCGGGGGATGGCCACAAGAACACCTTTTCCTATGTAATCTAGGGGAAGGGAATGCTGGTGGTTCTCATGAGGTGCAGAGAAACTTCTCTCCCCGTCCACGTACCCGTGAGGGAGCAGGGTGACAACCACCGGGATGCATGGGTTCTGTGGTCAGATGGTGGACTATGAGGCTATGCACACGGTCCCATTACTTCTCCAATCACTGCCTTCCCCACGCTGTCTTCTCAGTGAGAACAAGTCTGATGACTCTATTCAAAACGTAACTGACTTGGGGCACCTGGGTGGCTCAGTCGATTGAGCGACCGCCTCCAGATTTCAGCTCAGGTCATGATCTCATGGTTTGTGAGTCGGAGCCCCACATCAGGCTCTGTGTTGACAGTGCGAATCCTGCTTGCGATTCTCTCTCTTTTCCACTCTCTGCCCCTCCTTCTATCTCTCTCAAAATAAATAAAGTTTTAAAACAACGTAACCTGACTCTAGGATTCTGGAGCTCTCTTCCCTAGATCTCTTTTTCGCCAGAGCACTTAAATCTGCAGCCCACTACACAAAAGGCAGTTGTGAGGCTTCTTGTTTATTTTGTCTCTCTCCACTAGAATTTAGTCTGACAAGGTCAGGCAGGGACTTTGGTCTGTTTTGTCCAGGATGTGTCCCAACCTTCTAGAACGGTGTGGGCATGTCGTAGGTACTCAACAAATATTTGTTAAATGAATGAATGATTCACTCCTAAATGTTTCTGGTGGCTTTCAAGTGTGTTCGCTAATACTGTGATGATGCTCACTTCAAAAGTCAAGTGAATTCCCTCCCTAGTTGAGTGATGGACTCCTTTCCAGTGAATAAGATGTGACTTCTAAGATGGTCATAAAAAGGATAGCTTTCACCTGGCTCTCCCTCATGGGTCACTCACTCTAGGGGAAGTTAGTGGCCTTGTGAAGACATTCAAACTGCCTGAGAGGTCCATGTGGGGAGAAAGTGAGGCCTCCACCAATGACAGCACCAACTGGCTGGCAGTGTGAGCCAGCCATCTTGGAAGCAGGCTCTCCAGGAGACAGCGGCCCGAGCCAACATCGTGACTCTAACCTCAGGAGAGAACCCAAGTCAGAACCGCCCAGCTAAGGCAGGCCTGAATTCCTGACCCACGGATATTGTGAGGATAATAAATATTTACTATTGTGTTATCCCACATGTTGGGGGGGGGATAATTTGTTATGCAGCGATAGCGACCTAACACAATGTCAAGGTCACCTCGTGCGTTTAAAATACGACTTGCATTACATATACCCCCAACTTTGCAAGGAAGCAACGCTGTATGAAGTGAGGTCCACATCCTGATACGTAAATGGAGGTTGTGGAGATTTGATGGAGAGAGAACAGGCTTGGGGATATGAAATATAAAACAGGGTCAGATGGTCTTCAATCTGGCCCCTATCCTGGGAATATCATTTTAAGGCAGTGCGTCCCTGGGAGAAGCGAGTGTTTGCCAGGAAGTTGGTACAGAGACTGGAGCCCTAGCCCAGTGGCGCGTGTTGGGTGAAAACACTTGTCGGCTTATTCCAGCTCCAGTTGTTGGTTTCCTCACGGTGCTGGCACGTGGTGAGGCACAGGCTGGGACCTGCCCAACAGCTCCCGATCTGGACTGCACAAAGACTGAAGCTGTTGTTGTTGCCTTCCTGTAACTCCTGAGCGACCTTAAATTATATTCCCCAGTGGTGGAATAGCCAGAATAGTACACCGCTGAGGACATGAATTAGCCCCTGCGGGATACAGAAGATAGAAAATAACCGCTTGGAGAGCTGCAACGTACCGAATCCTCACCAGATAGGCACCTGCCAGTGCTCTGGAGGACATTTCTCTTAGTGCCGTGAATAGTGCCAGACGAGAGACTCTGGGGGCTTCCTGCCTGCCTCCCCACTTCTGCCACCAGGGATCACCAGCCATGACCTGGTGACTTGGTGTTTGGTCCCCGGAGCGCACTCCTGCTCTTGGCGTGTCTGACTGCACAGCTCAGAGGGGCAGATACAGCCGGTCTAGGGGCGCCCTTCAGGCCGTGTAAGAAACTTGGCCCTCATGAGAATGACTGGCTTTTCACAGAATTATTGACGTTCTCCTTTGGCTGAAATTCTCTTATCTGGGAGTTTCACCAGATTAGGGGGGAAAAATTCAAGGGGGCTTTGGTCACTGGCTGTTCAGACTACCTTTTATCAGTCCTAGTTGACAGATGGAAGGAAAAAAACCAAAGGCTGAGTGTTTATGAGTATCGCAGTAGGGAAGTCAGAGTGTCTGGGAGACCTTGCTTGCTAGTAGTAGTAATTATGGTAGTAGGGAATGTTTATTGAGCATCTGATATCTGCCCAGTGCCATGCTAAGCACTTTATGTCTATTTTCCTACTGGAGACTCATGACTCGCCTATGAGCTAGGTACTATTTTTATCCTCATTGAACGGATGAAGAAACTGAGGTTCAGTGCAGTAATTTGCTCAAGATTACCTGGCTGAAGGAGGGTCTCATTTCAGGTCTGCCTATGAACGAATCTATGTCCCTAAGTAGTATGTGGTCACTGTCCTGACCGGTGCTGGTTTCTGAGTATCTGCCTGTTTCCAAGGTTGGTAGATGTGTTGCATCTCAAGCCTGTCATATCCAGGCAATGCCTGACACCAAGGAAGGAGAGGGCAGAAAAAACCAAAGTAGGCCCAGCCCTGACCTACTCGTCCACACTGCAACAGATGTTCATGATGATCGTCCTGGCTTATAACAAAAAAGTTAAATCCTGTCCTTTGCTTTAAAAGGTAGAGGGGTGAATGGTGAGTTTTTGAATGCTTTTCTGCCAAACAATTAATATTTTGGGAAAAGTGTTGGTTCTCAAAGAGGAAAACCTCAACTATGTGGAGTATGCAAAAGACTGCAGGCATTCCTAACACTATTGGTTAAATATCTTTGTGTTAACATTCTAACACAGATGTACATTGAGATGACACAATTTTCCCATTTTGCAGTATCCTATAAGTGGACCAAAAGAAGAGGAAACTATTCCATTGTGCTATCATTGGCTCCTCCCTCCTCTACATAGAATTCACCATGGGCTTCTCTAGGCTTGGCTGTCTGGTTCATATAAATAGACATATCGGTCTCTCTACATCGGTCTCTCTCTCTCAGAAATGATTGATGAGGGTCTCGATGCCACAGCTATACACTGATGATAATAATTATGTTTGCATACCCAAAAAACAAGTAATCCAATGTAAAAATGGGCAAAAGACATGAACAGACATTTCTCCAAAAAAGACATACAGCCAGCCAACAAACACATGAAAAGATGCTTATCACTTATCATTAGAACAATGCAAATCAAAACTACAATGAGATATCACCTCACACCTGTCAGAATGGCTACAATCAACAATGGGTGTTGGCAGGGACGTGGAGAAAGGGGAACCCTCTTGCAGTGTTCGTGGATATGCAAACTGGTGCTACCACTGTGGAAAATATTATGGATCATCCTCAAAAAGTTAAAATAGAACTACCATACAATCCAGCAAGTGCATTACTGGGTATTTACCCAAAGAATACGAAAACACTAATTCAAAGGGATTCATACACCCCCTATATTTATAGCACCATTATTTATAATAGCCAAGATATGGAAGCAGCCCAAGTGCCTGCTGATTAATGAATAGACCAAGAGGAAGTTTTATGTATACACATATTATTCAACCACAGAAAAGGATGAAATCTTGCCATTTGCAACAACATGGATGGAGCTAGAGAGTCTAGCGCTAAGAGAAATAAGTCAGTCAGAGACATACCATATGATCGCACTCATATGTAGAATTTAAGAAACAAAACTAACATGCAAAAGAGAGAGAGAGAGAGACAAACCAAGAAGCAGATTTTAACTATAGAGAACAAAATGATGGCTACCAGAGGGGAAGTGGGTGGAGGACGGTGAAATGGCTGATGGGGATTAAGGAGTGCACTTGTCGTGATGAGCACCGAGGGATATATGGAATTTTTGAATCACTATATCGTATACGTGAAATATAACACTGTATCTAAGTAACTGGAATTAAAATATAAACTGAAAACAATTATGTTTGCAACAATAATAGTAACCATTCATAGAGTGTCTGCTCTGGGCCAAGGCACTCAGCTAGGCACTTGCATACATAGTTTCTTAAGCCTCTTAATCACTCCATTGTATTTTGTCCATTATATGCATCAGAAAACTAAAGTGCAATGAGCTCAAGCAACTTGCTTAAGATTTCAGACACAGTAAGTCGTTTAGGCACAGATTTGCATACTAATCTTTTTCCAAAATCCATGTTTTTCTGAGACAAACTACTTGCCTGAGGTCATGACAGGCAGGGAAGAATACCCTGGACGGGGCATCTTCATATGTAGAGAGAAAACTGAGAACAACTTCTATAAATATAATATTATAAAGTTAGGTTGATTACACACACACACACACACACACACACACACACACACACACACGATCCAGTTACTCATGATGAGCACCATCCTTTAAATTAGTCATCCATGGGGCACCTGGGTGGCTCAGTTGGTTAAGCGTATGACTCCAGCTCAGGTCAAGATCCTGTGGTTTGCGGGTTTGAACCCTGCATCAGGTTCTGTGCTGACAGCTCAGAGCCTGGAGCCTGCTTCAGATTCTGTGTCTCCCTCTCTTTTTGCCCTTTCCCTGCTCACGCTCTGTCTCTCTCTTTCTCTCTCAAAAATGAATAAACATTAAAAACATATATATAAAATAGTCATCTTTGAAGTCATCTTTGGAAGACTATTACTTCTTCCAAATACTATCTAAAATGCTTGCAATTTCTCTTTGAAAACTCTACTCACATTTAGCTTACATTCCCCACCCCCCCCCCCCAGTCCTGGTTTCTTTTGGTTACAGCCAAATTCGACCAAATAATGGTGTTTCCCATCTTGTTCACATACCTTGGTCACCAGATTTACTTCCAAATGACTTCCATTATTTCCAAATCACCAAATCCACTCACGGAGGAAGATTTGAGGCCAGGAAGATTTGAGAATTTTTTATAAAATTCTGCAGCAGGCTCTAGGGATAATTTTAAAATACAGTGAGCCATGGTAGCACGGTTGGAAAAAAAAATTTGCTATTTGGAAATATAAGCTCTGATTTATTTGTTAAAATAATAAATAAAGTCATATTATTTGCAGTCACCAGCTTATTACACTAACCCCTCCCTGGCTCTGCTTTCTCTCCTTACACTTTGTTGGTTGCTGTGGATTTCTCCATTGAGATGGAATTCGGAAGCCCATCAGTGAGATGACATCTCACTTGATACAATAATAATTGCAAAGGACTGGATTTCATGATAACCTAGTGCCTTGATTCTCCAGTGAGGGCAAAGCTTCCTTCAACATTCATGGGATCACTTCTCACCCAAGGGGTTCTTCATGGGCTTCTGATTTGAATCTAGGAAAACTGGTGTCGGTAATGAGTAAGAGAAACATGGGCTTAAAGAAGCAATGTTTTTATGGGTTGGAGATGTTTCTCAGATCAGGTCAGTGTAAACGCATAATGGAGAAGGAAGAGGTAAGAGTAGCCAAGAGAACAGATGATGTGATAGATATTTGTGGCATTCTCTTTTGTTCTCTTTTAGGATCCCCCATCCTGGGCTTCAGTCATATCCCAGTGGTATAAGCCTAGTTGTTGGAAAGTTAATTTTCTTTGGCTCTCCCCCCAATTTCAACCAAGGCCAAGCCCTGATCCTCACTTACCATCCATGGGAGTTTGCACTAACCCTCACATCTGAAATGGGAGCCCATGGAGAAAGCTCAAGAACTCTGAAAAGAAATGGTAATGTAAAAAAATACAGTGAATATATCTTCGCTTCTATCATGCATTTTCTTTTAACACAGCAGATATAATCACCTAGGGGAGAACTAACATTTGTTGAGAAGATGAAAGGCCTTAAGCACATTGCATGCCGTATCAATCAAAATGCTATCAGGAAAACAGAAATTATAATAGGTATTTTAACCAGGGGGTATTTAATATAGTGAATGGATTTCACATGTGTTGGAATATCCAAAAGAAAGCAGTGAAGTCGGTAAATACAGGGAGCAACTTTGGGCTGGGGGGAACAAAAGGAAAGAGGTATAACCTAGGAATGTAGAGGAAGAGCCACCATCTTTGTTGTTGGGCTGCTGTAGGACCATCATGTACTTGGCACTAAGATTGCCAAAGGGCGCTGGGTGGCTGGTGACAGGGCCTGTAGGAAGTGGCAAGACTCTGGTCTAAAGTTGTTAGAGTGGTAGCTGTCCTAAGGAAGGTGGAAAGAGGAAGGAAGTCCCTTCCTCTCTCCTCCTGCCTCCCAGTCTCCCAGTTGTGCCTCCCAATTGCAGACCCTAAGTGGAAATCAGCCTGCAAGGGAAATCTGGGAAATCTCATTTTCAGAATCTAAGCCCATAGCCTTACAGATCAAAGTATAAAGGGTGTGCATGGAACTGAGAGATCATTGACGAGCACGATGAGTCAATTCACTTAATACTCTACAAAACTGTGAATAAATAGAAGAAACAAAGTTCAGACCAGGGTCTAATACCAGAATCCTTGCTCTTGTAGTAAGTTCTAACTCAGTTTACATTTATACTTTGCCCTTGCCTTTTTTTTTTTTTTAATCTTAGCATTTATTTAGTGCTGGCTGTGTGCCAGTGCTGTGCTAAATGCTCAGGTTCTGCTTATCCTATTTAAGTTTTGAAACAGTGCAGGTAACGTTGATGAAAAGTTGCCCAGTAAACAAGAGGATAAGAAAACTAAATAAGAATAAACCTGGTTTCTTGAGTTGCAAATGTGTGCATATATGTATGTACATATAATTTTTTTATATTATAGAGCTTAAACTCTTTATATATACTTATATAAGTAAATTAATATGTGTATGTATTTATATAAAACTGTATATATATAATTACATGCAGACCACTTAGGTGAAAAAATACTATAATCAAAGAAGAATAAAAATATTGTCCTAGAGTGTTGAGCATGTCGTTCTAATCAACTTCAATTCATTTCAGAGAGTAATTGTTAAATACATATGTGTGCTCAGCACCGAGCTAGAGACCATGAAGGATACAAGAAAAATATATGATGAGGACCCTGTTCCCAAGAAATGTGCTGTCTAGTTCTGAAATTAAACCTAAGCTATACAGGACATCATGTACAATGAAAACATAAAGGTCAAGGGACGCCTTGGGAAGTCACTGAGGGCTGGGATTGTCAGGGAAGGTTGTCAGGAAGGGAGGAGACGAGGCAGAGGGGGCAGTGAAGGCAATATGGATGTGGAGAAGTGGACAGACCCTTCCACGTTAGGGAAGACCATGAGTAAAGGCTCAGAGGTGGGGCACGAACTCAATGTTTTATTGTTTTATTATTTTTTTAATGTTTATTTACTTTTTGAGAGAGAGAGAAACAGAGCATGGACAGGGGAGGGGTAGAGAGAGAAGGAGACGCAGACTCCAAAGCAAGCTCCAGGCTTGAGCTGTCAGCACGGAGCCCAACGCGGGGCTCGAACTCACGAAGCACAAGATCATAACCTGAGACGAAGTCAGACGCTTAACTGGCTGGGCCACCCAGGAGCCCCACAAACCCCCTGTTTTAAATGGCAGCAAAGGCACTGGAGATATGAGTGAAGGAAGGAACATTAGTTGGATGGTGGGCCTGAGTCCTAGTTGTCTCTCTCAGTATCCATTCTCCCCTTTTTCTGTTCGGATGGAAGGTTAAGCTGGGCACAAGACCAGCCTTCCTTGCAGCTAGGTGTGACGGGGCCACTAGATTCTGGCTAATGGGATATCAGCAGCAGTGATGTGTGAAATTTCCAGGCCATGTTCCTGAAAGGCAATGAGTTTGTCCTCCATTGCTCCTATTTCCCTTCTCCTCCAGGAGTGTGGGTGTGCTGTTGAACCATTTTGGACATTGTAGATAAGGACAACATCCTAAAGTTAGCACACAGACTCTAGAAAGAGTCTAGACTCCCAACATCGACCAACTGCCGTCCCAACCCTGGAGCACCAACAGTGATTGATAAATGAGAGGGAGGATTCCAACCGAGAGCCACAGGGGCGTCTTCTGCTCTTGGGCATCCATAGCGCTGTTTGGAGATTCTGGCATTTGTTCCTCTGAGGTAGCAGTAGATCCTCCAAAAGTAGCCTCACCTTGTCCACACATCTGCATAATTGCTCCTAGGAGTATCTTTTGGGAAGGCCGTTCAGAGAACCGAAAACACAGTGAGAGGATCGGTTTTTCTCTCCACATGTTAGGCAGGGACACCCAAGTTTCTGGCCAACCATGTTCGGAAGGAATATGAGACTCGCTGCAAATCCAGAAAGCTGCCGTAAGATCTTACAGTTGGTGTGGGGGAGGTATTAAAAAACACTAATATTTCTGGAATGGAAGCATGAATTGCATGCAATAAAGATATCACAACCTAGGACAAACTGCCTTTGAGATCAAATACGTCTTGTGGAGAGGACTGGACCTGTCTTTTTGGTTGTCTCTTTTCAAAATAATCCCCACTGAAGGGCGAGTTGTTGCACTGGCTCCAGATCTGCAGCATCTTTCTCTTTCCCGATATGGCAATAAGCAAAGATCCTAGAACCGGACTTGGGGAGAAGATAGCCCTGAGGCTATCTTTGAGATCAGGCTCTTTGAGAATCGTTCAGGATTCTTTCATGTTGGAAGGTGAAGTGTCATTTAAAAAAAAAAAGGTGAAATTCACACAACAAAAACTATTTCAATTTTTTTTATTGTATGTGTGTGTGTGTGTGTGTGTGTGAGAGAGAGAGAGAGAGAGAGAGAGAGAGAGCAGAGGAGGGGTAGAGAGAGAGGGGGGACAGAGGATCCAAAGCAGGCTCTGTGCTGTCAGCAGGGCTTGAACTCATGAACTGTGAGATCATGACCAGAGCTGAAGTTGGACACATGACAGACCGAGTCACCCAGGTGCCCCCCAAAGTAACCATTTTAAAGTGAATAATTGAGGGTCATTTAGTATATTCATCATGTTGTGCAACTAGCTAGAAAAGTTCAACGCGTTTTCATCATCCCAAAAGGAAACCCTGTACCCCGTAAGCAGTTACTCCTCATTCTCCCCTTTCGGGCCCCCGGCAACCACCAATCTGCTTTTCATCTCTATGGAAATACCTGTTTTGGGTGTTTCACATACATGGAATCATACAGTATGTGATCCTGGGTGTCTGGCTTCTTTCTATTTTTATTATTGATTTTTTTTAATGGTTTTTTTTTTTAATTTTTTTTTTTCAACGTTTATTTATTTTTGGGACAGAGAGAGACAGAGCATGAACGGGGGAGGGGCAGAGAGAGAGGGAGACACAGAATCGGAAACAGGCTTCAGGCTCCGAGCCATCAGCCCAGAGCCCGACGCGGGGCTCGAACTCATGGACCGCGAGATCGTGACCTGGCTGAAGTCGGACGCTTAACCGACTGAGCCACCCAGGCGCCCCTTAATGTTTATTTTTGAGAGAGAGAGAGTGTGTGGGAGGGGCAGAGAGGCAGGGGGACAGAAGATCGAAGCTGGCTCCACGCCATCAGCGCCGTCAGCGAATAGCCCCGCGTGGGGCCTGAACCCACGAACTATGAGATAATGACCTGAGCCGAAATCAGACACTTAAGTGACTGAGCCATCCAGGCACCCCTTCTTTCTTTCTTTTTTAAATGTTTATTTAATTTTGCGCGCGCGCGAGAGAAAGAGCAAGCACACAAGCAGGGGAGGGGCAGAGAGAGAGAGAGGGAGACAGAGGATCCAAAACGGGCTCTGTGCCGACAGCAGAAAGCCCGATGAGGGGCTCGAACCCCGGAACCGTGAGATCATGACCTGAGCCGAAGTCGGAGACTCAAACCACCGAGCCACCCAGGGGCTCCCTGGCTTCTTTCATTTAGCATGTTTTTGAGTTTCATCCAAGTTGTGGCATGTGCCAGTGCTTCACTCCTCTCCGTGGTGGAATCGCATTCCAGTAAATGCATACGCCCCAATTTGTTTATCCATCCATCTGCTGAAGGTCATTTGGGTTGTCTCCACCTTTGGCTGTCATGAACGGTGATGCTATGAACACGTACGTACAAGAACTTGTTTGCACACCCACTGCCATTTTAATGAGTATACAAAACTCAGGACTCAGGTGAGGAGGAATTAGCATCTGAAAGTCCAAATTCTCATTCTTCCCCACGTCAGAGGACAGGTTGCCGGGAAGGGGCTGCTACATCCACCAGTGTTGTTCTAATGGGCCCCCAGAGTTGCGTCGCAGAGTGGCTCTGAGCGTGAAGGAGGCTGGTAGAGTCGCGGGCCCTGACATCTGTCTTCACTGCTGCCATTTCCTTTCTTTGAGAATCCAGGCAGGCACGCGGTCGAGTCATACTGAAGGCCCACGTGTGCTTTGCCGGGTGCTCTCTGCCCGGTTGTTCTCTTCATTGCCAGTTGTCCTCGCACCTTCTGAAAGGTGCCTTCCTGGCGCTAGCAGAAAAACAAAACTTTCCGGGTTAGACCAGAAGGGACCCCAGGCCTCCGAATGAGAGCCAGAGGACAACTACGCAAAGGGACCAGTTCTGTAAAAATAGTAACCGCTGCTGTTTATTGAGTATTGAGCATCTGATCCATTCACCAGCCCTACGAGCCATCATCCCCATTTTACAGATGAGGAAATTGAAGTTAATTCAAGCACAGCTGACGCGTATCTCGGAGATATTGTGGGTTTGGCTCCAGACCACTGCAATAAAGCGAGCGCTGCAATAAAGGGGGTCAAATGAATTTTTTGGTTTCCCAGTGCATATA